TTTTCCTCAGTCAAAGTCGTAGCTCTGTCTCGCGAAGCGAGATATTAATTGTTAAAGTTGACAATTTGTAGGGTTAGAAAATCGGTCATGCGGAACATACTGTCTCCACGCATGTACTTCCACCATTGTACTGTTCCACATGGGTTTGCAACTTTCCACGTGAAGCGAGATCCACTCCACACCTCTGACATAGGGTGGGTAGGGTTATTTTTAACGAAGTGCAGCCCCCCGAAGAGAGGGGCGGAACATACTGTCTCCACGCATACATTTTTCTACCCACTTATAAGTCACTCCCCTCCACCAAATGTAGATAGAAAAATGTATGCGTGAAGACAGTGTGTTCCGCCCCCCCTTCGGGGGGGCTCCACTTCGTTAAAAATAACCCTACCCACCCTATGTCAGAGGTGTGGAGTGGATCTCGCTTCACGTGGAAAGTTGTAAACCCATGTGGAACCGTACAACGCGTGGAATTAGTTTTGCCCTCCCCCTGCCCTTGCTCTTTCCTTACCTGCGTTCAATACTGAAGGTAAATAAAAGCATTTATTGTACATAGGATGTCAGAAAATTATATTTTAGTGGTTAAACATTTTTGTTTATAACTTTTTAATAAACACCGACCGATGGCAAAAACTTCTTGAAGGCCACTCAGGGTCATGATCTTGACAACATATGTCAAGATCAAGTTCATTTGGTTGACCTTATCTAAATATTTACCAAAAAACGTATTAAAAATTTCAGTTTTCAATTTGTTATATCTCCTAAACCAATGCCGTCCCCCACTTGATTCTTGCGGGGAATTACTCAGAAAACTCTCCCCTACAACATACCTAAGTGGCGAGGAAATCGGTGAGGTGTGACCTATTCTGCATATTTACCTTCAATTTTAACTGGTTGAACGTTACATCACGTCGAAAGTGTTTAAGATTTTTTATTAATACATAATATGTGAAATAGGTATTGATACGAATTAGATTTAGTAAATAACGAGAGTAAAATTGTATTTCATCAAATAATAAATGGTGTATCAATTGTTTTGTGCCTGACGACCGAAAAACCGAGTGGACGCGTACTTCTAAGACGCGAAAATAGCACATTGCGATAAATATTATCATATGCCTCGGTGAGTTGTCCGCCTAAGGTGACATAGGTTTAAACCACGGCTGAGGTAATATTTTCCGCAGTAAATTCTTTTTCAAAATTATAATCAGGTGGGTCGAATAATATTAATTTTGGATTTAAACAGTGTATAAATTTATAACATTGTTGTATAAGAATAAATTTATTATAATTTGCAATTATGCATAAAAAATACAGTGGCTGAACACTTTCAAATTTACCTGAGTTGTTAACACTTCGCCAACAGCACAATAAATGCACATGTGACCGAACGTATTGGTGAAGATGCTTACAATATATATTATGTGAAAGATCGTAAAATGCTGTTTATTTTCGAGCATCTAGTTGTATCATTAAAAGTTGCAATTATATGTAATATTCATGTTAGTAAGATATTTATATTTTCAGTACTAAATATTATTAAAAACCTTTTTATCATTTCTTCTATTCACAAAATCTTTTAAAATTAGGGTAACACTTAGTTTTAAAAGGAATTTTTTAACATCTATGCTTTCTTGTATTATTAACGAAAGTAAAACCTTTATTATGTAAGAAAACACTATACGTATAATCCTAGTTGCATTGAGAAATTTGTTTGTATCAAAGTAATTTAAATTAAAAATTGGTGATATGTAATAAATATAACAATGTTTCAAAACATTTACTGAAAAATAAGTTTAAAAAGTATTAGCAAAATCAACAACATAAATAAAAAATAGAAGTAAAATTAGTTGTAATTATTGTGAGATATTTGATGTAAAAATATAAAGTTTTTCTATATTTAAACTGTGTGATATAAAAAAATCCTAACTAAACTTTTATCAATATACTTACATTTATTATCCAAAAACCATAGAAAGCGAAAAGAATACCGAAATATAGAAATAAAACCATCAATATTATGTTGAATATATCTTGAATATGATGAATAGCTCTATAAAAATGATTGTATAACAATTGCAATATCGAATAAAATATTAATCTGAAATGTATTACAATACATATATAAATGTATTACAATACATATAGGTACCTAAGTAGCCGGATATGTTCTTTCACACAATTTTTTAAAACGTTGTTGTAATTTGTAACATTATGTATATACATGAGGCGATTTCTTAGAATATCCAATTGGCCACAGACATGAAATACCGAGAGACTAAGAAAATTGTCAACGCCTGTATAACACATAGTATTGAGGAATAAGGTAAAACTTTGAATAGTGAATGTTAGTTCATATTGTGGACTTTTAGTTGTGTCGTAGATATAATATGTCTGTAGTGGTAATGGTCTCCCCAGATCAGTGATATTAGACAGGTATCTCACCGAGTGGCCAAATATGGGTAAAACAACTATAACAAACCAACCCACTCCCATTAAGCTGTACGCAAATGTTATAATAATGCGCGGAATTTGCGCTCTTGCGATCATCGTTGTTTTTTCCTGTTGTGTTTTCACCTTTAACCAATCGTAAGCGATCAGATTTATTATTGCTGTGACTGCTATAGAAACATGGTAACAAAGAAGATTAATGAGAATATAGATTTATTTTGTTGCTTAAAAAATGTAATATAATTTAAAACTTTTAACTTCGTTTCTGAATGGTAAATTAAAAGTTTCGTTAGGTTTAGATATAAGATATCCACGAAAATATTTTAAATTTAATAACTAATTTGCAACTGTATTTACGTTTTCTCTTCCACCAGAAGATTGCGAATCTTAGGACGCAAGTGATGACTGGTAAAGTGAGCTGCAAGTTATCTGTCAGTAATAAAATGTCGAAATGGATTTTTATCATTGAATGTATTGCAGGAATCGCAACAAAGAATAACATCAATGAGAAAACGAGAAGCGCATGTACATTGCACATACGTTTTTCCCATGTTGTTTGTTCGGACTTAGGCCAAAGTCCAATTATCACTAGACTATATCGATTTAATTTCACTGCCCATTCGAAATCTACCTTTTACAAAAATTTTAGTATTTGTTAAAAGTTTTTACATAAGAAAAATTATCGCTTGATATTAATCCTGAGTAATCTAGAATATGTGCCAATTATAATAACTTTAAAAATAAGGAAGCGATAATCTTGTCAAATAATTTATTTATTTCGGTAAGTTTTCGTAGAATATGTTTAGGAGGATCTCACACATAAAAGAAATGGAATATATATAAATCAATATTACTTATTTACCACATAAGCAATATTACACATAAAATGCAATAACATGTTTACAATTTAAAAAAATTAATCGAAAATTTATTGTAATGACGTAATTATAAATAATTTTGATATCAATAAGAAAAAATCTGATTTAACATAACTTACATGTAATAATTATTCTATTGATACAATATAATAACACATAAAAATTGAAAAACCTTGACAAGTCTATTATTTCAATCGTCATAATATAATTATAATTTACAAATATGCAAAAATAATAAAGAAATTTGTACTTATAGACGAATATAATTATGAATGACAAACGTATCTTCCTTTCGACATAGCTTTGTTCGTCTAACCTTTTTCTAATACTAATACATTATGGTGATTGCTCTGAGAAATGCGATGAGAAGTACTTTTATACGTAAGAAATTTTGATGTTTCCATATTGAATGTACGGTGTAGACTGACAGTTAATTCTTTCTTTATTGCAAACGACGTCAGCTATAGATAGCTATAAGACGATATTCAGTGTGCATAATAAAAATTCTTAAAAACAGGAGATATTCCATGTGCACTAAACGGAAATTTAAAAACTTGAAATATACCCTCTTGTTGTACAACTTTGAATAACTACAGTGCAACAACGTTCGGAGTGTTCATAAATAAAAACTGAGGTAATGACTGGTGGATAAGTCTCTGGTCTCACGGCAGTTTATGTAGATGTATTGATCATGTTTCGGTCATGTCATGGTAATCGATCATGAGTTGGCTATAGCCTTGCCATGTCTATAGACATCTGGATATTGTATTACTTTTATTATTTTCATCATTTCATAATAAGTTGAGTTAAATGGGGAAATAAATAGGTAAGAGCATTTTTCTTTTTGTGTTGTGATATTAATATAGAATTACTTTATTCTGTATTATCACATATGTATTATTTTTATTAACAGCATGTTACATAAATCATCTCCTCTATTTCTACAAACGTACAAAAATGTTTAGTTAACGTTACACAGTTTTCTCGAGTTTTCATTTATTTATACTTATTTTTAATCGATGTTATTCAATCATTATTTTTAGAGTAAACAGGTAAAATACCTGAAAAATACTTACATGCCGGTTTTACTTTTCAACATGAATATTGTTTGAATTTAGACATTTGCTATAGCAAGACAGTTTCTGTAGAAACGTATCATAGAATTCTAGTCCCATGCAATTTACATTTTTAACTTCTAATACGATACTATTTATTATTTTTATTTTAATGGTACCTACACAATATATTCGAGTTACCCCTATCTTTATTTTATTAGTAGCCAAGCTAACCTTCTCTCTATTATCTGGTAGCTTTTATTTTCAATAAATAAAAAACTTACTCAGTTTAATTATAATAGTAACATAAATTTTATTACATTAATTTACCATTCACAATTATATCATGTAAAGTTTTCAATTTTATACTAAACTTCAATTTTATATCACAAAATTTGAATTATTTGAACAACTCTTTGGTTAAATCTTTAATTCGTGTATTTATTTCACATTTTCGATTGATTTCTTGTAGTAAGTAATACGGATAAGTAACCAGCTGACGTTTTCAATAGCTATATAATAAAATATACGTTAATAACATTGCAATGACAGATGCAAGTTGAATATATTTTTTAATAAATGAATTGTTAAAATACTTAATATTTATCGTATTAAATATTGGAAACCTTTTAAATGCTTCAGAAGAAAATTTGTATACGTATACATATATTATAAATAATTTCACATTATTCTTAGTTTTTATTTAACTCTACTTGTTGTATAAAAAAGTACATTAGTAATTAAATTAAAGTCATACTTGAAATTTAAAATAACTTACGTTACAAAATGTAGCCATTGTCAACGGAAACACTTTACCAATATTAAGATAAAGAGGCTTACTGGATCTTATCATTAAAAGAATTAAGTTCCAAGCTTTTCTTGGATCGATAGTATACCATTCATTGAAATATACAGCATGATGAATTTGATCACACTCCAAGTCGTCATAAATAAATAAAAATGTTAGTTACAAATTGATGAAATCACTTGCTGTAATATTTATAAAATTTATATGCAGTTTTGAAATGTGCGTATTCCAATTTTAACTAGTTGAACTTTAGATCACGTTGAAATTGTTTAAGATTTTTTATTAATACTTTGAACGTCACAAATATGTATTGATATAAATTATATTTCGTAAATGATGAGTATAAAATTGTATTTCATAAAATTATAAATGGCGTATCAAATGTTCTGTGTCTGAAGACCGATAAACCGAATGGAAATGTATTTCTACAACAAAAATATCAGTACATTGTTTATTGCGATAAATATTATCATATGCCTTGGTGAGTCGTCCGCTTAAGGTGAACGGGGTTTAATCCATGGCTGAGGTTATATTTTCCGCAATAAATTCTTTTTCAAAATTATAACCAGTAGGGTCGAATAATATTAATTTTTCATTAAAACTGTATGTAAATTTATAACATTTATGTAGAATAAATTTATTATAATTTGCAATTATGCATAAAAAATACAGTGCCTGAGAGACTGAACAATTTCAAATTTACCTGAGTGGTTAACAATTCGCCAACAGCACAATAAATGCACATGTGACCAAATGTATTGGTAAAGACGGTTAAAATATATATAATTTGAAGGATCGTAATACGCTCTTGACTTTCGAGCATCTAATTATATCATTAAAATATACAATTATATGTAATATTTAAATGTTACTTTGATATATATGTATACATATGTATATTGTCAGTACTAAATATTATTAGAATTCGTGTGCTATATTATCATTTCTTCTATCCGTAAAATCTTTTAAAATTAGGGTAACATCTAGATTAAAAAGAAATTTTTCAACATCTATTTTTTTCTTGTATTTTTAATGGAAGTAGGTTTGTATTATTATTTATAACGCAAGTAAAACAGTTATTATTTAAGAAAACACTACATGCATATTAATGATTACATTGAGAAATTTTCTTCTATCAAAGTAATTTAAATAAAAATTTGGTGATAAGTAATAAATATAACAATGTTTCGAAACATTTAATGAGAAATAAGTTCAAAAAGTAACAGAAAATTAACAATATATATAAAAATAGAAGTAAAATTAGTCGTGATTATTGTGAGATATTTGATGTAAAAATATAAAGTTTTTCTATATTAAATCTGTGTAAAATATAAAAAAATCATTACTAAATGTTTACCAATATACTTACATTTATTATCAAAAAACCATAGAAACCAAAAAGAATACCGAAATATAGAAATAATACCATCAATATTATGTTGAATACATCTTGAATATGATGAATAGCTCTATAAAAAATATATATATTGTGTAGCAATTATAATGCCGAATAGAATATTGATCTAAAAGATATCAAAATATATAAAGATATACCTAAGTAGCCGGATATGTTCTATCACACAATTTTTTAAAACGTTGTTGTAATTTGCGACATTATGTATATACATGAGGCGATTCCTTAGAATATCCAATTGGCCAGAGACATGAAATACCGAGAGACTAAGAAAATTGTCAACGCCAGTATAACACATAGTATTGATGAGTAAGGTAATACTTTGAATAATAAATGTTAGTTCATATTGTGGACTTTTGTTTGTGTCGTAGATATAATATGTCCGAAGTGGTAATTGTCTCTCCAGATCAGTGATATTAGACAGGTATCTCACCGAGTAGCCAAATATGGGTAAAACAACAACAACAACCCAGGTCATTCCCATTAAGCTGTACGCACATATTATGATAATGCGCGCAATTTGCGCTCTTGCGATCATAGTTGTTTCTTCCTGTCGTGTTTTCGCCTTTAACCAATCGTGAGCGATCATATTTATTATTGCTGCGACTGCTATAAAAACATGGCAACGAAGAAGATTAATGTGAGTATAGATTTATTTTGTTGTTTAAAAAATGTAATATAATTTAAGATATTTAACTCTGTTTCTGAATAGTACATAGAAAGTTTAGTTAGGTTAAAATATAAGATATCTATGAAAATATTTTAAATCCTTTAATAACTAAGTTGTAACTGTATTTACCTTTTCTCTTCCACCAGAAGATTGCAAATTTTAGGACGCAAGTGATGACTGGTAAAGTAAATTGCAAGTTATCTGTCAGTAATAAAATGTCCAAATGGATTCTTATCATGGAATGTATTGCAGGAATCGCAACAACGAATAACATCATTAAGAAAACGAGAAGTACATGTACATTGCGCATACGTTTTTCCCATGTTGTTTGTTCGGACTTAGGCCAAAGTCCAATTACTATGAGACTATATCGATTTAACTTCACTGCCCATTCGAAATCTATTTTTTACAAAAATTTTGCTACATATAACATTTTTTTAATACGGATAAATACCGCTTGATATTAATCGTAATTAAGTAAGAAACATGTACTAATTAAATTAACTTAAAAAATACGATAGTTATAATATTATGGAATAATATATTTATTTCAGTAAGGTTTTGTAGAATATGTTTAGGATCTCACACATAAAAGAAATGAAATATACGAATTTAATATTACTGATTTATCATATAAGCACTATTACACGTAAAATGCAATAATGTATTTACAATTTAAGAAAATAAATTGCAAATTTATTGTAATGACGTAATTACAAACAATTTTGATATTGAGAAGAAAAAATTTCCTTTGACGTAACATACATGTAACAATTATTATATTTATATCATACAAAAACAGATAAATTGAAAAACTGTGACAAGTCCACTATTTCAAACGTCATAATATAATTCCAATTCACAAATATGCAAGAGCAATAAAGAAAGTTTTACTTATTAACGAATCATATAATGAGTGATAACCGTATCTTCCTTTCGACATAGGTCTATTAGTCTAACCTTTTCCTAATAGTAACCCATTATGATATGTGCTTTGAGAAGTGCGATGAGAAGTATTTTCATATGTAAGGAAATTTGATGTTTCCATATTGAACGTACGGTGTAGACTGACAGTTAATTCTTCCTTTATTGCAATCGACGTCAACTGTAGATAGCTAAAAGACGATATTTCCTGTGCATAATAAAAATTCTTAAAAACAGGAGATATTCCATGTGGACTAGAAGGAAATTTAAAAAAACTTTAAATGTACCCTCTTGTTGTACAACTTTGGAGAACTACAGTGCAACAACGTTCGGAGTGTTCATAAATAAAAACTGAGGTAATGACTGGTGGATAAGTGGTTCTCTGGTCTCACGGCAGTTTATGTAGATGTATTGATCATGTTTCGGTGCAGTGGTAATCGATCATGAGTTGGCTATAGCCTTGCCATGTCTATAGACATCTGGATATTGTATTACTTTTATTATTTTCATCATTTCATAATAAGTTGAGTTAAATGGGGAAATAAATAGGTAAGAGCATTTGTCTTTTTGTGTTGTAATATTAATATAGAATTACTTTAATCTGTATCATATATGTATCATTTTTATTAACAGCATGTTACATTAATATTCTCCACTATTTCTATGAACGTACAAAAATGTTCAGTTAGCGTTAAACAGTTTTCTTGAGTTTTCATTTATTTATACTTATCTTTAGTCGATGTTATTCGATTATTATTTATAGAGTAAACAGGTACCATTCCTGAAAAATACTTACATGCCGGCTTTACTTTTCAACAGGAATATTGTTTGAATTTAGACATTTGCTATAGCAAGACAGTTTCTGTAGAAACGTATCATAGAATTCTATTCCCATGCACTCGATGCATTTAATATTTTTCAATTTGTAATACGATACTATTTATTATTTTTATTTTAATGGTACGTGCACCATATGTTCGAGTTACTCCTCTCTTCATTTTATTAGTGGCTAAGATAACCTTCTATCTATTATCTGGTAGCTTTTATTTTCAATAAAGAAAAAACTTAATCAGTTTAATTATAATAGTAACACAAATTTTATTACATTAATTTACCATTCACAATTATATCATGTAAAGTTTTCAATTTTATACTAAACTTCAATTCTATTATATATCACAAAATTTAAATTAGTTGACCAACTCTTTGGTCAAATCTATAATTCGAGTATTTATTTCACATTTTCGATTGATTTCTTGTAGTAAGTAATACGGATAAGTAACCAGCTGACGTTTTCAATAACTATATAATAAAATATACGTTAATAACATTGCAATAACAGATGCAAGTAGTATATATTTTTAAATAAATGAATCGTTAAGATACTTAATATTTGTCGTATTAAATGTTGGAAACATTTTAAATGCTTCAGAAGAAAATTTGTGTACATATAAATAATTTCACATTATTCTTAATTTTTATTTTACTCTGCTTGTTTTATAAAAAAGTACATTAGTAATTAAATTAAAGTCATAGTTGAAATTTAAAATAACTTACGTTACAAAATGTAGCCATTGTCAACGGAAACACTTTACCAATATTAAGATAAAGAGGCTTATTGGATCTTATCATTAAAAGAATTAAGTTCCAGGCTTTTCTTGGATCGATAGTGTACCATTTATTTAAATATACAGCATGATGGATTTGGTCACACTTCAAGTCGCCATAAATAAATAAAAATGTTAGTTACAAATTGGTGAAATCACTTGCTGTAATATTTATAAAATTTATGTGCAGTTTTGAAATGTGCGTATTCCAATTTTAACTAGTTGAACTTTAGATCACGTTTAAGATAAATTGTTTAAGATTTTTTATTAATACTTTGAACGTCACAAATATGTATTGATATAAATTATATTTCGTAAATGATAAGTATAAAATTATATTTCATAAAATTATAAATGACGTATCAAATGTTCTATGTCTGAAGACCGATAAACCGAATGGAAACGTATTTCTACAACAAAAGTATCAGTACATTGTTTATTGCGATAAATATTATCATATGCCTTGGTGAGTCGTCCGCTTAAGGTGAACGGGGTTTAATCCATGGCTGAGGTTATATTTTCCGCAATAAATTCTTTTTTAAAATTATAACCAGTAGGGTCGAATAATATTAATTTTACATTAAAACTGTATGTAAATTTATAACGTTTGTGTAGAATAAATTTATTATAATTTGCAATTATGCATAAAAAATACAGTGCCTGAGAGACTGAACAATTTCAAATTTACCTGAGTGGTTAACAATTCGCCAACAGCACAATAAATGCACATGGGTAATTATTTAGATTAACACACCCACCTCCAATAACCTTGGG